TAAATAACTTCGCTCCTTTCAGATTCTCTTCTCTCTTTAGTTTGATTTCTTCGTACCTACGGTTTTAGTTCTAGCAATTGATTCAAAAGCTGTATACACTTTATCCTTTGTTGGCATCCGTGACATTAAATCAAACTCATTACTACATCCTGGGAAGGAAGCTTTACAACTCAAAATTGTAGAAGCAAGTATCACACCACCGCCACGTTATACATCACTGAACACATCTGCGTTATATGTCCCTGAACGACGGCAACACCACGGCAACACCACGTTATACATCACTGAACGTTNAGCTGTATACACTTTATCCTTTGTTGGCATCCGTGACATTAAATCAAACTCATTACTACATCCTGGGAAGGAAGCTTTACAACTCAAAATTGTAGAAGCAAGTATCCCACCACCGCCACGTTATACATCACTGAACACATCTGCGTTATATGTCCCTGAACGACGGCAACACCACGGCAACACCACGTTATACATCACTGAACGTTTTTACACGTTATATGTCCCAGAGGATTATTGACTTAACTCAGCAACTGTACGACTTGCAGCAGCAACAGAGTATTCAAGCACAGCTTCAACCATCGATTGAAACCTCGGAAGCCGCCGAAGCACGCAACAGACCTACGCCTCCACGAGCCAATGGACCAGACCCCCGGAGAATCCCTCGGCTAGACCACCTTGAGAAGCTAGACAATCCCAAGGCAGATGCTGGCCCCGAGTTCGACGCATGGCTTGTGAATGTAAATGGCCTCCTTCTAGACTACGGTACAGTGTTTCCNAATCCCAAGGCAGATGCTGGCCCCGAGTTCGACGCATGGCTTGTGAATGTAAATGGCCTCCTTCTAGACTACGGTACAGTGTTTCCCAGCGACGGTGCCCAAGCACGCTGGCTTTATAAACAGACCACTGGAGACGCCCAAAGTCGGCTCACCCCCTAATTCCTCCCATCATCGATTGTGAAACTTGACACAGCCCAGGCGGTATTCGATCACTTTGAGCTAGCATATGGCGACCCCGAAAAGCAAGCAAAAGCATATGCCCTCTATGTTGACGAAAGCCACGATGCCGGACAAAGCTTCAACGACTTCTTTACTAAATTCCAGCTGAATGCGGGAATTGCCCAAATCAGTCCAGACGTCTTGTTCAGAGACCTCAAGCACAAACTGAACCCTCGGTTCTTGAATGCCCTTGCTACTAGTTGGCACCGCATCAATACCTTCGCCCAGTTGCACCAGGAGTGCTCTCAACTCCAGCACACGTTTGAAGTCTTGGATGAAAGACGAGCCAAGGAAACGGTGAAAAGACTCGCGAAAGAGAAGCCAGCACCCTCAGCTCAGCCTTCAACAACAAGGTCAAATACCCGACGCTTTATCAAGATTTTACCTGCTTCNGAAACGGTGAAAAGACTCGCGAAAGAGAAGCCAGCACCCTCAGCTCAGCCTTCAACAACAAGGTCAAATACCCGACGCTTTATCAAGATTTTACCTGCTTCTACCTCCCAGTTTCAAGCAGCACCCCAGCGCCAGGATAGCGAGCAATCCACACCAAGGCAGCAAAGACCTTTTGATCGGACAACTCCTGCTAGCAGGGCGGCAACTCCAGCATCAACTCCGGCAGAGGTTACCTGCTTCAACTGTGGAAGACTAGGTCATATTTCTCCTACCTGTCCTGAGCCGAAAAAGCCAGCCGCGATTCATGAAATCTTTGAGGTAGAGGAGGAGGAATTGTCTGTGGAGGAGGACTCGGAAAACGAGGAGGTCTAGGGGAAGACTCTGCCCTAGGTGTATTCGCGCTTGAGATTGAGGAGATTGACGAGACCAACCTACTTGGAGGAGACCCGATTACTGTCGACGNAAAACGAGGAGGCCTAGGGGAAGACTCTGCCCTAGGTGTATTCGCGCTTGAGATTGAGGAGATTGACGAGACCAACCTACTTGGAGGAGACCCGATTACTGTCGACGTCACTCTCAAAGTCAGTTCAATTGTTATTACACTCAAAGCTCTTGCAGACACAGGAACGAATGGATTTTCTTTTATTGACTTCACACTTGCACATCAGCTGTGCCAAAAATTCAACCTAAAACCAAAAAAACTCCCTCGGACAATACGTACCAGAGGCTACAATGGAGACGGCCAACAAACCGTTACTTCTTTTCTTCCACTTGACATCATTGTTGATGGCCGCCACCAGCACCAAATCCCATTTATCATGCTTAACCTCGCCAACCAAGAGCTCATTCTAGGCCTAAACTGGTTTGAATACTTCAACATCAGCATCAGCCCACGGACAAGAACGCTTATCTGGCCCCTGGATTACGACCCCGCACCTTCGTACGAACGCTTAGTTCGTTGGAAACGTTCTGATTTGTACCCAAAAAGAATCGACAAGGCAGACCAGCTCAACGCAGACAAAAGAGACGCAGCGCAGGACGCGAATTTCAAACGCCGAGAAGACGGAAAGCTTTCAATTCTACGAAGACCACCCCCTGTACATGTAGAAGGGGCGGAAATTTCAATTGTTACAGTTGAGCCAGCTCACCACAAAGAACTAGCTCGCCAGAAGAGCCTTCCAAGAAAGTTT